GCAAACTAGACTCGACGGAAAAGTCACACTAGGCGAATCATATGTGGCAGGTGACCTGAGGCTTCGGGGGTTAAATACCATTGCAAAAATGTATATTCATTTGGACTTTATACAGCTTTTTTGTACATGACAGTTTAAATAAAAAATATGTTGTGAACGTGATATTTTTAATAAGATAAATAAATATTAAATGTAATGTTTTGAAGTAAAAAAAAATTATTATAAATTGTAATATACACCAATATCAAGATACATATATTAGGTATATATGAACATATAAGCGGGGTTTACTATGTTAATTATAATTAGTGTTGATAATATACAAAATATACATTAACAACACATACTAACAATACACATACAATACGTGTACTAACAATATATGACCGTACCTCACATAACACATACTATAATTGTTGTCAATATATACTCAAAAAATATATATTTACACAACACATATAACATAGGATATATATATATAGATATTATATGTTGTATTAATTCAATACTCTTAACCATTATCGTCTATTCATAAATGTAAATTCATACAAACAAAAGTGCGTATGCATATCCATTTACTTGTTACATATCGACATAAACATTTAGGGTATGTTTCTTTTGATGAGTTTAGAAAAAAAAATTGATTTGAATTTTGTATGAAAATAATGTTTGATAAAATATTTTGTAAAAAAAAAAAGTATTTTTTTTCAAAAATGCAGAGTTCAAATAGTAAAACTTAGAGAAACTGCTAAAGAAACATACCCTTAAAAAATTGAAATAAACATTAGTAATGGTCCTTCATTTTGTCTCAAGTGACAGACAAATTAAAGACCCAATTGCACGAAGAAATAGCACATGGTAATGTTCCAATGTAAACCCCCGTCACAAAAGAAATAACCATGTGCTAATTATAGTATTTGTGTGTATATATAAATGATTTTTTTTTATTTTTTTTATTTTTTATTTTTTTTTGATGGATACAACGTTAGCAATTAATGTCTGTCTGTAGCCCATGCATCTGACATGCATATATATATATATATATATAAGTTGTAGCCTAATATTCTCCTTGTTCCCCACGAGGGTTTTCTGCACTTCCAATATATATATATACTCCCTTCTTTATTTAAAAATAGGTTCAAATTTTTTAATACAAGTTTTAATATGAAAATTTACTTTTGATTACTTTTGATTTTTTATGGTAAATATATATATATTATTATTATTAAAAAAAGAACACGAGAATATTTTTAGATGACACTCAAATCTAAAATTTCTACTATTTGAACTTTGCGTTTTAAAAAACTAAAGTATATTTTTTTCTCTCTAAACATTTCATCATAGATTATTTTGAATATCTAATACAAACCAAAATTTTCCAAAACCTATCAAAAGAAACACGTATGCTTTTTTTTAGTTTATATACGGTTTTTTACCATTTGAATTTTATAGATTTATTTTAATTTTTTAAAATATTATATTAAATATAGCTGGAATATGATTGAGTGTACTAATTAAGGTGTATATGTACATTCAACTATGATAATCTAATCTAATAAAAATTCATGTGGAGAGAGTAAGACAAAATTGATAGTACAATTTAATTTGAATTAACATTGTTTTATGGCCAAACATAAATTTAAAATATATAGTTCAATAAAAATATATTTGGTATTATTATTTTATGGAAAAAAAAAATGTAATACAAGTAAATAAACTATAAGAATATGAATGGATCTCACCTTGAAAAAATTTGGAAAATATTTGAAATGAAATTTATTAGAAGTTGTTAGTGTCAATATTACTTCAATTCAAGATGAGATCCAAATAGAGCCTAAATGATTATTCATGAAAATATGATCTCTACGTTTTAAAAAATAAATAATTAATTAAAATGGGCTTTTAATTTAGCAAAAATTAATTTGTATGAAGGGGCCATGAATACTCATGATTAATAAAAAATAAAATAAAATAATATTTTAAAACTGATTCCTTGCCTTCATTAATTTAATCATGCCAATAATAATTACTTTTTAAAAATTAATCATCAATCACGGTCAATTACTAGTACAGAACTTTAAGGAAAACGACAATGAAATAACATCGAGGTGATTAATTTATACCAATCCAACGGTCCAGATTAAATCGGTCCATCAACTCTAACCCTAGCTGAAGATAACGAAATGATCCTACTTTACTTTTCTTGTAAATGCAAACTTGCACATAAATATAACCGGCCGTACCCAAAAGTATAGTCTTATTATATTGGACATGAGATTTAAGAAATATTGATATTATATGGATAATTAATAAAAAAATAAGGATAAATAAATTTTTTATCCTTATGAGTATATTGGTGTAAAAAATAGTGGCAATTGTGTAATAATAATAAAAAAAAAGATAGTTTTATGATGATATGATTATTTATAAAAATGAGACTATTGTTTTGAAACAGGAGAGTAAAATATTCATCCATTATATTTATACATAAAAATTGAAGTATTATTTTATATATATATATAATATATATATATATATAATGTCCATTTCAGTAGTAGTTAGCAAGATTTGGGAAGATCTTTCACACGTAAAGCTAAGCTTGAAAAAATTATTTTATTCTATTTTTTAGAAAAATGAACATAGTATGACGAAAACACACAATATATATATATGTATGTATGTATATTATACACTAGAGTGGTTTCCATATTGATGCTGGTTTGGTTCAAACATTTAATTTTATAGACTGTACATGTCTAACAATACATAGTAATACAATGTAAAACACAAATTCTTTGTTGGAGATAATATAATTCAATATAACACAATATATTATTGATTTCGATACAAAATTATATTTATAAAACATATACTCCCTCCATTCCACATAATTTGTTCCTTATTTTCTATTTTTGTCAGTCCACATAACTTGTTCTTTCTATTTTTGAAAATATAATTATGCACTTTCATCACATTTTAAATTTAAAATTTTATAATTTTCTTAATTTTAATTAAACTATTTAGTTATTTTAATCTTAATCTATAATTATTTTTACTGATACACTTTTTAATTACTTGTTAATTATATTTTACCTAAATTCTCGTATATACAGTAATAAATCCAAAATATCTTGACGGAGGGAGTACAGATGATAGGGTGCTTAATGAAAAAATTCAACACCCATGTTGATCACTTAAAAATTGATGATATATAATTATGTTAATTAATTATAAAAATTAGAGTAATTAATTTCTGTTTAGCATGGGTGTTGAATTTTTTTCATTCAGCACCCTATCCCCTCCCATATATAAATTGTACCTTATATGTTTTTATATTGTACAATATAACATTGTGTTATATAGAAATATGTGATATTTGTTTAGTGGTTAGAGATCATAGCGCTAGTCAATACGATGCTGGCTTTATAATGGTTGGTATGTTAATTAAATAGATAGCTTATTGATGTTGGAGGAACATAGTAAGTTTGGTGTGATAAAATGGTTTGTATTTCAAAGGAAGTAATTTATTTATTTATTATAATGGTGAAGAAGTGCAAGTAACATATATATACATATATAGATATTATTTACTTAGTTCTAATTAATTGCATGAAGATTACTAATTAGGTGGACAATAAAGTGCTAAAACTCAAGGAGAGGTGGACAAATAGGAAAGTGTGTAATGTGTTGGTTGATTGATGATTGATTATTATTGCACATGTCATTTGGTTTTGTCTCAAATATGCTCACTTCCTTACCTTTACCTTACCTTACATGTTTGTCATGATCTTGCATTGATCATTTGATGACAAGAAGTATATATATATATATATATATAGAGAGAGAGAGAGAGAGAGAAAGGGGTATGGATCAACCGTTGATCCGGTCAAGTCAGTATGGTATTGATTTGATTGAATCAACATATTAGCATATTTATCATATATCATATATTATATTATAACACAACATATATTGTATTATATATAAATATATGATGATTACCGTGTAGCATATGCTGATTCAATCAAATCAGCATCATGTCAACTTGTTCGGATCAGCACAAGATCCGCAACCCATATATATATATATATATATATATATGTTTGTAAAGAAAATTTTGAAGGTGTGGATGAACAATATGATTACACACTTATAATTAAAAATTTTGTTTCTGAAAAAGGAGGTAACCCTTAATCCAACCATTTGATTGTTCAACAACCCTACATTGCCCACATGATGATCATGATGCACCTTATTCAATTCTTGCACCCCCTCAAGTTTAAATTAATTCATCACACTTCTATTTCTATGTATTTATATTAATAATTCATTCTTGCCCTCGATTACTTCCAATTAATTCCACCACTTTGAATTAGGTTGTCAAACAAGTTTGGAAAACATATCAACTAGTTTTTAGTTTTGAAAAAATTAGATTAGATGTAACCTATCCCTTGCTTGATTAAGTGTGTTTGTTTGAAATATATATATATATATATATTATGCAAAATATAAATAATCATATCAGTAATATAAAAAAATACTCCCTCCGTCCCACATTGGATGGATGAGTCACTGTAGACACGAAAATTTATAATTAGTATAATTAGTAGATAATTAAAATTATATTAGTGAAAATAATTATTAAAATTTTGAATTGAAATAATTGTTTGATGTGATATAAATATGTATTGATGTGATGTTTTAAATGTAAAATTAAATTTTAGTGTAATAAAATAAATAAAAATTGAATGTTTAATTAGATATTTTTTTGAAAAGATAAAATTGAAAAAATAAAATCAGAGCTAAAATCTTCTAAGTAAAGTGTTGTGTGCCATTAAGTTCCAACCCAATTGCTGCCCAACTCTCTCTCTCTACATATATATACATATATTTGTACGTATATGTATATACATGGTATGATAGATACACACCTTTAAAGTTCTATAAATATCCTCGAACATTGCAACAAATCACACCCAAACACTTACCTCACTCTTCGCTTCACTTAATCTCAACCTCTTTCTCTCTTAACCCACAAAACAAAAGTTACACACTTTCATACACATACACCCCCCCCCCCCCCCTCCCTCTCTCTCTCTATACATATATATATTTGTATGTAAAGAATGGCGGAGGTAGAGTACCAAAACAAGCCCTACGACACCCCGGCGACGAACCACAGCTTAAAGCTCTTCGGCTTCAACGTCACCGGAATATTCGATCACGAACCAGAAGATTCGATTTCCGACAAGGCGCCGCCGTCTGTGTCGCCGGAATCCGACGACCGGAAGTACGAGTGCCAATACTGCTGCCGTGGGTTCGCCAATTCACAGGCCCTCGGCGGCCATCAGAACGCCCACAAGAAGGAGAGGCAGCAGCTCAAACGCGCCCAAATCCACGCCACCCGAAACGCCGCCGTTTCGTACTCCCGGAACCCCATGGCCTCCGCCTTCTCCCCGCCGCCGCACCTCCTTGCTCCGGCGAGCTCCGTCGTCGTCGCCGCCGCTTCCCAGCCGTGGATTTACGTCCCCCGCTCCGGGACCTCCTCATCGTACGGCTGCGCTTTTCCCGGAGAAATTGGGCTTCAACGGCCCATTACGGCGCATAGTGGACGATTAAATGGGCTTGTTGATGTTGGGCCTCAACGGCCCATTAAGAAAATTAATGAAAATGTTAGTGGGTTTAATTTGAGAGGGCTTCCGAGGGAGAATGATGACGATGCATTTGGGCTGGACTTGCATCTGAGCTTGGCTCCAGCCGCGCCGTGAGCCGTGTTGTGAATTCTTAATTGACTAATTAATCGGCTCGCTTGTATCATACTCAGCTCGGCTTCTGTATATTTTTTCAATTTTTTTCTTTTTTTTTTTTATATATTTGAAAGGAAATCTCTACCACTCGGGTTGTAATGAGTCTTCCTGTCTTGTAATTTTATAAATAATTATTATAACTATTAAAATTTTAATAGTTAATATTTAATTTGGTGCATTCAGTACAATTAGTCTAAACTAATATTTAATTCAATATTTTTTATATATCTTTTTCTATATAATAGTGATGGTATATTGGGATGTAAACAATAATAGTGCATTTAAAAAAAAAAATTGAATGAAAGTTATAAATTAAAGTTATGAATAATATATAAATTTAATAAACAACCAAAAAAAAAAAAAAAATGACATAATTATAAAAGATGAATAGAGTTTTAATTAAAACATATATTCACACAACAACATACATATTCATACAAAAAAATCGACAATTAAAATCGACAATTTAATTATTCATACAGAAAATTAACAATTTAATTATTCTCTTCCTCCCATAATAATTGGCACATTTTTTATTTTAGTATGTCTCGTAACATTTGACACATTTGTATTTTTAGTAAATTTACAATATATAAACATATTTAACTTAATTATTTTTAATTAAATTCCTAATACCATATTTGTAGCTCTAATAAATAAATATTTTTATCTATATTTAAAATTCTCTATTTTTATAATATTAATTTATGTTATTATAAATAAATAAATATACATTTTATTATATAAAATTTTATTTTTTATAAATATATATTTTAATTATGTTAACTATATATTTATTTTTATTTTAAAAATATCAACAACATCACTTATATTAAAAAATAATAATAAATAAATATCATAACATTCTATTACTAATTTACTAAATTTCGTGCTCTTAAACACTGTCACTCACCAAAGCTATCAACTGTTTCGAAACTAAAGAAATATTTTTATATTAAGAATATGTTTCTTCGTACTCAATATAAAAAATAATAGGGTAAACTGTATTTTTAGTCTCGTAACTGGACTCCCTTATCATTTTAGTCCCGTAAATGGAGCCTGTTGTTTTAGTCCTCCGATGTCGGAGATGCCCGCGTGGCTCGCCGGAGGTGACGTGTCCGCCAAGTCAGCGGCGGACACGTGGATTTTTTTTTTCATTTTTTTAAAAACTTATTTTTAATTAATTTTTTATTTTATTTGTATTTTTTTTATTTTTTTATTTGGTACAATTAAAAAAAATTTAAAAAATTAAAAGAAAATGAAAAAAAAAATAAAAATCCACGTGTCTGCCAGGTCAGCGACACCTGGCGGACAGCTCACCTCCGGCGAGCCACGCGGGCGTCTCCGGCGCCGGAAGACTAAAACAACGAAAATTATTCACTTATGTGACTAGTTTGCGACAGGCTCCACTTAAATGACTAAAATGATAAAGGGGTTCAGTTACGGAACTAAAAAACAATTTACCCAAAATAATATTAAACAAACATACTCAAATATATTTCATCAATCAAACTTTCTATCATATTCTTCTAAATTGAAGGAATTTTGAGATATATATATATATTTATAATATTTTATTATTATTATTATTTGACATTATTTTTCTTTCGGTCTTTTTTTAGACTTCTATTTTCATTATTAGTAAATAAAAACACAATTTTTACAAATTCTCAGAACTTTAATTATATAACATAGTTTATTTTTATTTTTATTATATATTTATCTCTACATATTATATAAAAATTATATATACATATATTTTTGAAATATAATTTTAAAATACTTTAACATAAGAGTTATTTTTTAAATTAAATATACTATTTTTTATTGTAATTTACAATTAATTTAAAATAAAATATTAATTAAAATTTTTATATAAATAATATTTTGATATAATATTTTATTAGAGAAAATATTATAGTATTTTAAATTTGAAAAAAACAAACAAACAAATAAAAAATTTCAACCACAATTTAAAAGGATGATAATATTAAAAATAATATTTTATAGTATTAAATTATTAATTTTTGTGAGTAAATATATTATACATTTCATTTGTCCACTCGTATATTTCTCAATTCTTTATATTTATCCAATCTTTATATTTTAAAAAATTAACAAATCAAAATTTAATTATTATATTTTATTTAACATTTATTCATAATAAAATACGACTAATTTTTTTATATTTTTTTTACTAATTAAAATTAAAAAATACTCTTAACTATTTTTTATTTATTCTAATTTTTTAATAAAATATTTTTTTTAAAAAAAAATTGTACAGAAGTCAAAAGAGTTAAATATAGAAGACGAAAAAAGTATTTTTTATAATATTAATAAAAAAATTATTATTTTGTGAATTTAAAAACATTTTTTTTATAATTTAATTATTCTAAAAATATAAACTCAAATATTACATCAACTCTTCTTTTGTAGATTTCAATTTATTTTTGTTATGCTTATCAGAATGTTTATGTAGCATTATTTTTTACTTATATATATAGTAGTATATTTTAAACATATCGGGTGTGTTATTTTTGTAAAAAAAAGTTAATATACTATTTTTTAAAAAAATATTAATATATATTATACACGTTTATTATTTTTAAAAATAAATAAAAATAATAGAATTTCAAATATTCACAACTATTTTTGAATTTTTATTCCTATTTTTATTAGTATTATTTCTTTATAATTTTAATAATAATACATAAAATATCAGATTAAATAATTATTTAAATAAAAATACAAATATATTAACTTCCTATTTTTATAACTATTTGACATTAGGAATAGTTTTCTGAGAAGAACTTTCCTAACATTAAAATAATTAGTAGAAACTTATCCAACTTGGTATATATTAAAGGTTGTTTAAATAATTAAAGTATAATTACAATAAATATAGTATTAAATAATTCTACACAGAGAACACAAAATTTATTAATCTTAAATCAATTTATAAAATATGTGGCAAGATCCTTTAACATTTTCGCCAAAACGACGCCGTTCGCAAACGTAATTGCGAAATGGAAAAAACGTTGTCGTCAATTAAAATTTGAGAAGAGAAGTCGTGTGACGACTCTTTCCGGTAGGCCTAAACGTGCGCGGCGCGCACATTAGCGCGGCCGACTACAATGAACCCCGAGCGTTAAGGGAGACCAGGAACTGAAATGACGGAAATACCCCCAGATTGGCGACCTCCGTATATGTAACGATCGCGGCACCTTCTCCTACCACGCGATTTCCCCTTCGGCGCTTCAAAGTTCGAAGCCAAAAATTGAATACCCTAAATTCAGCAGACTATTCTCTTCTCTTCTTCTCTGCTCCTTCTTCTTCTTCTTCTTTCTTCTTGTTCTGCAATTTTGTTTTCTAGATTCAATCGATCAATCGTGTTTTTGCCCCAATTGGGATTTGGGAGGAATTGGAATCGGAATCGGAATTATTAGCTCCGATCGTCGTTGTTTGAGCTATTGATTTGTTATGAAGGTGTGAATGAAAGGGATATGGCTATGGGGACGGAAAGATCGAGGGCGTTGCACAATTTCACGATGCCGTCGGAATTGCGGTGGGGAAATCAGCGGTTTCTGAGGTGCATGAAGGTCAACTCCTCCGACGGACAAATCTCGCCGCTCCACCGCTTCACTGCGAACACCTCCGGCGGTTCCGATCATCGGAACCACCGGCATCCGATACAGCAGCGGCGGACCACAAGAGATAGAGACGAGGAGAGAGGTGTGAGCTCCGCGGCCGGCTCCGAGTTTACGAGCGGATCCCCCAAAGTTAGTCCGACGCCGGCGCCGCCGGAGTCCGATTCCGGCCGGAGATTCAGCAGCGGCGAAGAAGGAATCGCCGCCGTCCGCGAGAAGATGATGTACGATTTCCAGACGGAGGCCGACAAAATGAAAGACGCCATATTAGACGGACTCGAGGAACGCAAGGCTTCGATTTCTCCTCCTCCGCCTCCGCCGCCGCCGGAAGGCGGCGAGGCCCAACGCCCCTGGAACTTGCGAACGCGGCGAGCTGCCTCCTCAAAGACATCGCCGCCGACTGGAATCGTCTCCGGCCGATTTGATTTCCCCACCATTACAGCCGCCGCCGCCGCCGCCGGCATCTTCAAATCGGATTTACCGAAACCTAATTTCCTCCCGCCGCCGCCGCCGACAACGTACAAGTCTCCGATCAACGAAGCCACTACGAGTGGCGGGAAAAGAGAACGCTCTAAATTTTCAGTGGTGATCTCGAAAAAGGACATCGAGGAGGATTTCTTCGCCATCGCCGGCCACCGGCCGCCGCGCAGACCCAAGAGGAGGGCTAAGGCTGTCCAGAAGGAATTAGATGTAAGTAATTCCAGATTCGATTCCCCCGATTATTCAAACACTTTTTCTTTGATTCCATATCTCCAATTCGAAATTGTTAGCTTTCAATTACTTGATCTGAGATTCTATTCTTACATTTCTTTGTTTCTCCAAATGTCTGCAGTGCCTCTTCCCCGGATTGTGGTTGACCGACGTTACTCCCGACATGTACAAGGTTAATGAAACAGCTCAATAACACAAAAAAAAAAAAAAGGTGAAAATCGGTAATCTCTTCGGAACTTTGGATGGATTTATGTGCTCATGTGTTTGCTGGAGGTCTGAGTTTTGAATCCTGATATTGTCTGCAGTGACTAAACCGACGATAGTTTCAAATTCTTTGCTCATTGATAATGGCTGTTGTGAAGGATGATGGAGAAATGAACAAAGGACTATTCTTGTATTTGAATTGCGGAGGAGACCTAATCTGGTTTCTTTATACTTTTTTTTTTTTTATTTTCTTCCGATAATCGTAAGTGTTCATACATTTGTTCGGTTGGGTTGAATAAATTTTAACGTAGAGGAATGTTATTTCATTTGTTGTTCTAGCAATTCAACATTATACTCTTATGTCATTCGACTTTGCAATTCTCAGTTCTTATAAAAGGAAGATTTTAGTGTTATGAGTTACACATTTGCTCTGTTCATTGCTGTTGGTTTTGTTCTTCTTGGCTTATCTTTGTTCGATCAAATTCTTGTGTCTCTTCTTGATAGTGTTATGTTAACGAGGTTTTTATTGCGGGGCATCTTTGTTCTTGGCCACTTGTGTTTGATTAAGATATATCCTATTTTCTTACATCCTTAAAAACATTTGTTCGAACTTTGAATGTCCTGTTTATTGGTAGCCCGAGCCTAAGGTGAATGCATCACCGGCCAGGCGCGCCTTTGTTTTAAGGCTACTTTAGTTCGGTTTGTTGAAGAAACATAAGATTGTTCATAGAACACCCAAGATATACCTTTGTTAAGAATTGAAAAAAATGAGCATGTTTTCATATTGGTTTTCAAGATTGTTACATCTTGTCTAGTTTTTGCAATTTTGTAGTTCATCCTAAACACAGTGGTTTAAGGATTTTGTTTAAAATTTTGCTGTTTATTAATTTTGTAATTTTTATTTTTTTTCATTCTCAAAAATCAAATTAAGTATATATTTTTTTATATTATATTAATAATTAATTTTATATTTAAAATATTACATCAATAATTATTTATATCATATTATATATTTATTTAAATTTAAGTTTTTTATTATTTAAAATTTGAACTCAAAATTAAACTTCAAACCAAAACCGACACCCTTATAGATCAAAAGTGACGACTAATTTTTGTTTAAGAATTATGTCTTGAATTCTATCCATTTTGTGAGAGTATAATATAATTTTAACAATTTAAAAGAATATATATATTTATTATAGTAAAAGTTTTATAAAAAGTCCTAAAAATTCCGGGACAATAGTTTTATTACACAGAAACTAAGGGTGTGTTTGTGGGTTTGGATTTTTAATTGAAATTTAAATAATAAAAATTTTGAATTTGAATAGTTATATGATGTGATATAAATAGGTGTTGATGTGATGTTTTGAATGTAAAATTGATTTTTAATATAATATAAAAAAATAAAAAATAGGTGTTTGATTTGATATTTTTTAGAGGAAAAAAATTGGATGAATAATGGGATTAAAATCCAATCCCCAAACAACCACATCCATAGGTATTTGATTTGATGTTTTTAGTATGTTTTTCATTATTTGCCATCACCGTATGTTTACTTATTTATTACAATTATTTTTTTTTCCTTTATGATTCATCAATATCAAGTTAATTCATAAAAATATATTTTTTCAAATATATATATATATATTTCAAAAAATGTATACTTTTTAATTATTATAAATAATTCTTACATATTCTTTTATTTATAACAATCAACATTACACTTATAAAAATTAAACAGAAAAAATAAATACACAAAAAAAAAAAAAAATCACAAACGAATCACACTTTGTAACAATGTTATATATATACATAAAAACAATGTTCTGTATTTTTTTAAAATAAAATTTTAATGACGAGAAAGTAAATATACGAGTGTTTGGAAATTTTATTAAATTATAGGAAAAGATTTTGGTATTATAAATAAATTATACTATTTCCTAGTTTTTCTTTTAAAAAATAAATAGTAATTTCAATCTAATAATACAAGTTGTTTTTAACTAATTTTGGAAAATTATATAAAAGAATTTCAGATTTAAATTTTAGTTTAGTTTAAATAGAAATATAATGTAATATTTTATAAAAAAAACAAACGCAGTATACTTTCTTTTCCAGAATTATAGTACCAGTTATATTGAGCACAAAAATTTAAAAAAAATATTGATATTATATTGATAATTAGTACAAAAATATGAATATAATTTTTTTTTTTTTGTCTTTTGTCAATATATTAATATAAAAAATAATAGTATTTGTGTAATAATAATAATAAAAAAAAAATAAGTTTTCTGTATGTAATTATTTATAAAAATAAATTATTATTTAAAAAATAATAATAAATAAAGTTATTGTATAAAAAATATAATTTTAATAAAATTTGTACGAAGGGAATAATATTAATTTATTTTTAAAATACAAATCAAACCCATCATAATTATGTTTGACCCTTCCTTTTATTTTATTTATTATTTTAAAATATCTTTCACACAACATTTTTGGTAATATAATTTTATTTATTAAAGTAATTTCACTAACCATAAATATTAAGAGTGAATTATTTTCCTTTCCTATTAAACATTTTTAAAATATATCACAAATATTATATCCAATAATTAATTTTATTAGGAATAAAAAGTATACCTGGATAAATGAAAAATGTAAAATAAAATTTAAATGTAAATGGACTAATATTATATATTTTAATATAATTCACTATTATTTTTAGTAAAATAGTGGATGTGTTGATTCTGTATTTTTTGAATGATTATATTTGTTATACTGTTATATATAAAAGCATTATATTAATAATATAAAAATAATAATTTATAGTAAATTATTGATAAATAAAATATACTCCCTCCGTCCCATGTAATATGTGTGTATTACTGTAAACATGAGAATTTAGGTAAAGTATAATTAGTAAGTAATTAAGAAGTGTATTAGTAAAAATAATTATAGATTAAGATTAAGATAAATAAATAGTTTAATTAAAATTAAGAAAATTATAAAATTTAAAATTTAAAATGCGATTAAAGTGCATAACTATATTTCAAAAATAGAAAGGACAAGTTATGTGGGACGGACAAAAATAAAAATTATAGACAAATTATGTGGGACGGACGAAAATAAAAAATATAGACAAATTATGTGGGACGGATGGAGTATATTATACTTTCTCAGTTTTGTAGCTGATTAAAAAAATAACGCAGTAGTATTTTATTAGTGAGTGGAAGTATGTAAGAGATTTTGATATTTTTTAATTTGACTTTATATAAAAAATAATTGTATGTGTGATGATGTGTTTGTAATTTAGGTAAAAATTAAGAGTATTTTGATATTGACGGAAGATTACTTTTATTTCAAATATTAAAGAGATACTTTAAAATGAGACTGGTAAAAATTGTAAAAAAGTACTTTGAGTTATAACGGATAAAATATTAATTTTTTTGGTAATATTAAAAAAATAAATCATATCTAGTAGAATATAACAAATTATTATACCATATTTCACATAAATTTGTTTATTGAGTCTCACATAATTTGCCTAATATGTTTTACTTTACTATTATCAGAATAATATTATTAACAGTACTTTTCTACTTTTATTTGAAAAAAAAAATAAATTAAACATTTATATTTATTATCAGAATAATATTATTAACAGTACTTTTCTACTTTTATTTGAAAAAAAAAATAAATTAAACATTTATATTTATTATCAGAATAATATTATTAACAGTACTTTTCTACTTTTATTTGAAAAAAAAAATAAATTAAACATTTATAGTTTAATAACAGTTCTTAATTAAATTAGAGTGAATTATATATATATATATATATATAGGGTTTATCAGCTGATTCTGCTGTAAATAGACTAACAATATTATGAATATTTTTTTAAAAAAATAATTAATTTTTTTCTTATATATATATATAGTATTTCCTTCGTTCCAGAACTATAGTCTTGATTCTGTTGGATAAGGAATATTGATATTATATTGATAATAAGTAAAAAGTATAGGTAAAAGACATTTTTGTCATTGTGAGTGTATTAGTGTAAAAGGTAGTGACAATTGTGTAATAATAATGAAATAATAAGAATAGTTATACAGTGATATGATTATTTATGAAAATAAGACTATTATTTTAAAACAGATAAAAATAGTAAAATATTGTATAGAAATGAAGGGGATATATAAATATATTTTAGATAGATAAATAAAAATAAAATAAACGCACACTCTGTAACAAATGGTGTATCTACATACATATGGAATGGGTAGTTGGATTAATTGTAAGCTGAGCTGCAATGTAACCTATAATCCACCAGAATTTAAGATAAATATAATTAGTAAATAATTAAAAATATATTAGTAAAAATAATTATTTTATTATATAAATAATTATAAATTAAAATTAAAATAACTAATTAATTTAATTAAAAATTTTAAAATAAGATTAAAATGTATAATAATTTTCCAAAAAATGAAAGTGACATGGGATGTGAGACGGACAAAAACGGCAATGTGTAGGTAATATGTAGGACTGGGAGAGTATTTGATTATAAATAAATTAAATTATATGATTGATTGTTTTAAAAACTATTCTTTCAATGCCAATCGGATGTATTTATTTGAATTTTTCTAATATATTAAAAAATAATACTCTCTCAATCCCTTAACAATTTATCTATTTTTTCATTTTGGTTTGTCCCATAATAAAGTATCAATTTCCTTTTTTTTTTATTTTTTATTTTTAGTAATTGTACTATCTACCTAACATTACAAATACCATTTAAATTTACAATATAATACACAAATGTCATTATATTTATATCATACAATACTAATAGAGTTAATTTAGTCTTTTTACCTTTATTTCTACTTTATCCCAATATAATATTAATATTTCTAAAACTCCGTGCAAAAAATAAATGAATATATAGATATGCGACGAAATGGGTAATATTTTATTAGTTAATGAAAATGTGTAGAAGAATTTGATATTTTTATCATTGATTTTATATATAAAATAATTGTATATGTAACGATATATTTATAATTTAAGTAAAAGATAAATATATTTTGTGATATTAGTGTATAATTACTTTTACTAAAATAAAATAAATATTTTGAATAAAATAAATGAAAATAATAAAAATGTACTTTATTAATCTTATAATAAAAAATAAGGGTACACAAAATATACATACAAGCAAATTAGGACCTAAACTAAAATATAAAATAAATAATACAAATATATTTATGGCTAATACAATGGAATGGAGATGAGGTCCATGGATTATATGATCTTTGGTTTGAAATAACAATTATTATGGTGCAAATTCAAATACTACATTAAAAGATTAGAAGAATAATTCACACCTCATAGGTTGTCGGATGCTGAATGATCCGTCGCTGAATGACCGTTTCCTCTCAGGTGTAAGTAAGGTCTGCGAAACTTGGATATGCATATGCAAATGGGGACGGACGGAACTTGAACTCGAGATATAGCTAAGGCTTTGATACCATATCGGATGTTGAATGACCGTCTCATTAAGGAAACACAACCATTAATCATATATTCGCAAACGAGAGTCCCAATATATGTATCACTTAAATTCTACTAATATAATACTACCCCAGTCCCAGAATTATAGTTTGGATTGAGTTTGACACGAGATTTAAGGAATATTGATATTATATTGATAGTTGGTAAAAAGTACGGATAAAAGACTTTTTTGCCCTTGTGAGTGTATTAGTGTAAAAAGTAGTGACAATTGTGTAATAATAATGAAAAAGTAAAATAATTTTATAATGATATGATTATTTATAAAAATGAGACTATTATTTTGGAACGGATAAAAATGAAAATCAATCGCTATATTGGCACGGAGGGAGTATCTTTTTAAAGAAATTTAAAAATAAATAAAAATTTAATATCATATTAGTTGTAAATTGATTACGTCCTTCCAGATTTTTTCAAATAACCAACAGGGAGTAAAGCATATTTTTATAGAAAGCTCCGGGGACTATAACACCAGTACGAGAATAGTGTGGTTACCACTTGTGGGCCCCACACACTAATTGGTGAAAATCACTCCGGTGTTCGGATCCCGGGTGCTCGTCAAAGTGATTCAAAATATTCTGATCTTATTATTTCATTTTTCCCCTTTACTCTTATTTTATTTTATTTTTCATTTTAATCAAATCTAATAGTATTAAGCAGGGATGTTTAGTAAATTTACCGTTAATAATATGGGCAGTACTTAGTCTGGATAAGTTCGAGATTAAAATACTAAGCACAATGACGTGTCACATCACATTTTTAATTATTACACACAGATCATACATTATACTTATAATTATTTATCATAACGTGGCGTGGTGTATTTATTTTAGTTTGTGATTTGTTTGTATTTAAATAGTAGTTAATAATTCTTTTGAAAGAAATAAAATCTTATTTATTTTATTATAACATTACATTTACATTAAGACAAGTTGATAGTGGGAGCAAATGATGATTACAATGTGGTTTGTAAAGTGGGGCTCGACCAATCATTGAACCTATTTTCTTAACCTTTTGGTTGGATCCAAGTGACCCCTTTTGTCTTTATGTGCTTTACATTGCAAATAATTATACTAATATTTAATTTTATTTTATTTAAAAGATAAATTAGTCATTAGAATATCATAATTTTTAATTTAGCATTTAAAAAAAAAAAAAAGTTAAATAACCAATAAATTTAATAAAATTCGATTACGTATATATCATTTATTGAATCCCGAAGGATCAAAATGCAAGAAAACCATGACAGACACGGCCCATCAAAAGTGAGGATTTTTAGAAGGTCCTGGGATCCTGACACACGGCCGGAAATCTACACATATTAGTGGTACAGATTTACCAGGAGTCGAGATCCTGGACTCTTAAAACTATGGAACTTTAATTTACTTTTAATTGTTCATTAGTTATCTGCTGAAGCATGCAAAGAACTTTTTATCAGTAATTCGGAGAAGAAGAAGATCGAAGAAGACAGTGGATTGATAATCCATCGAAGCAAAAATGTGAACTGTACAAAAATTTTAAAAAAAATATATAAAATCACAAATGTTCAAGGAATCATCATTTTCTCTTCTTCTTGGATTTCTTGCTGCAGAAAAACGACCCGAACCCGAATAAGCTTACAGTACCTTTGGCAATGTACGACGGAGGGATGTTCAAAACCGGGTTGATCCGTACGCCGGCGCCGGATCCGTACGATCTGCTGCTGCTGCTTTTCCTCAGAGAAGGTTTTTTCGAGGAATTGGCGCTGCTGTAAGGATGGTAGGGATGAGTGATCGCCGCCGGAGAGGATGAATTCGGCCGGCGGCTAATCGCCGCCGCCACCGTCGTCGTCTCCTTCAGCGAATGCTGCTTCTGCATACCTTTCGGGAACGCAGGCGCCGCCTTCGGGGTGGGGACCGAGCCCGTGGAGTTGCTCCGCGTCAGGAATTGCAGAGATCGGAAAAGCCCGTTCGCGCGGCTGTTGTCGCTGCTGCTCCGCCGGAACTGCCAGAACGGCTTCGCCGGAGATTTCTCCCGATCGTCGCCGTCGCCGTCGTCGAAGTTGGAGGAGAGGAATTCAATCAATCGCTTCTTGTTCGCGGCGTCGGGTTTGGGTTTCGGTTCCGGGTTCCGGGTCTGAATATCGGGTTCGGGTCCGGTCAGGGCGGGTTGGATTTCCCTGATCTGGACCGGCAGGATTTTACCGTCGGCGAAGAGCTCGTCGGCCGGCGAGATCTCCTGCGGCAAAGTCCGGCCGCCGGCGCAGAAATCGAAGTCGAAATCGAAAAGCGAAGAACCCGATTCGACGACAGGGACGAAGTCCAATTCATTGAGATCGTGTGAGAAGGAGATTCTCGGGCTGGAAATCTCCGAGCAGACGTCGACCGCCATTGAAGCCGGCGAAGATCCAAAGATTGAAAATTAACCAAATGGCAAGTGAAGAGTAACCTAATTTATAGAGAGAGAAAGAGAGAGAGAGAGAGAGAGATTGAGAAATAAGATTTGGGTCAAAAAGGGATGACGATGATAATTGTGTTGGTGAGGGAAGGAGCATCGACTTTTGCTTTTTCGCCAGTGCAAAAACAAGAAAAGTTTTGTGTATCAGAATCAGACATATTAATATTAATATTTGTTAGTATTATTGACATTTGTGAATGTAATTGTGTAATCTAGCTAACCCTAGTGCAGTGTGTGAATGAATTTAAGCACCGAAAGCCTACAAGGTTTGGATCTTCCAAAACCAGAAACATCTTTTCTAGAGAGAGACTGACAAAATGGGAAGCAGCCGCCAGGAAATCAGGCAAGAGAGAGAGAGGGGTTGCCATTGTCAAGACTCAAATTTTATTTTATGTTTTAAAGAAAAAGAAAAAGAGAGTAATAAAACTGAACATACATACAACATCGGATTCCCCGCAAATGTCTGTAACAGTCAAGGAGGGAGACAAGAGAACTTGGCAGGTCCAGGACTTCCACTCCAAACCGCCTTCTCCTTTATAAGGTCTTGCAGTCCATGGACCTCCCAAGAACTTGAGTCTTTCTCTACACGTCTGCTCTAAATTCACACCATCATAATAATAGTAGTAGTAGTAGTAATTACATCAGTTTGTGGTATTTCTTGTCTTGCTTGTGAAGCACTTCTTTATTATTATTGGGGTTGAGTTGGAAAGCAAAGCAAAGTGGATGTAGTTTTATTGGGGAATCCATTGATTTGATTTCATGCCCTTCTTTGCTTTGTTCTGTGTTTTCATCCCTTGTAAGTCTTCCATTTTCATCATTATAGAGTGGGTTTTGTGTTGTGCTGTTGGTGGCAAGATTTTATCCCAAGTTTTCACCATCATATAAGTTTGATCATATTTTATTATTTTATATGGTTTTATATACTAAAAATTAATTAATTAGTGATGGGAACATATCCCTTGAAGTACATGTGCAGATTGTGCAACATGTCTAAACCCCAACACCAAAATGCATGTGTGATGTGTCAATCATCATGCAAGAAAATGACCACAAAAAAAATTGGTACCATTATTGTAAAAATTAAAAGCATCCCACATGGAGTGGCATTTGGGACTACTACATACACACACAAACAACAAAAGAGTTCTTGGAAAAAAATTTGTTATATGTTCTTTAATCTTTATCAATGAATAAAACAAGTGCAATATATATTATATATAGATATTTAAGTAATTTTCCATTAAATAATATTGGGCCGATAAGCCGAGAAGAGTTGTTGGGCTCAAGGGCCCAATAGGAAAAGTCACGTGACCTTATTTCAGTTCTTAATTCTAAAATCACTTTCAAGTTTCAGGCAAGGCAGCAGAATTCCCACAATTTCTCGCGTCTAGGGTTTAGTTTAAAAGCCGTTTTTTCAATTCAATTTCGTTTTGATTTCAGTGAGGCAAATCTCAATTTGGGAACTAGAAGCGTGGTGTGGAAGAACGAGAGTGATAATGGCGGCCTCGAGCCTCTGGATTTATTTGTCGAGACTGGTGTGGATGAAAGATCCGCGGAGGATACGGTCGCCAACGCTAAGGTAATGCCTAATTTCTTCACGGAGTATGTATCTGCATTTTCATTTATGTAGTTCCTGCCGGCGGTTGTTTTGAATATTCTCGGCAACATAATCGATCGAGCGCGGAAGTAAAGTTAGTACTACGTATTCTCAAAGGACACCAATTTTGTGATCCTCTGTGTGAAATTGTATTGGTAACCTTTTTCTTTATTCGTGTGCAATGGATTATGAGTTGATTCCACGTTTGTTGTAACATTGTGCGAACAGTGTCGAAGGCGTAAACTGGAATCGCCAAGGTTAACCCTATCGGCATTCAAGTCATTCACTTTCTTGAAGATATGGAAGAATTCTTGATGTGATAGCGCCATTTTTAAGGTACACATACTCTGTGATTCGATATAATTAGGATTGGAAATGTTCATTGATTTTTTCTCCATTGCACTCACAATCTCGAGCATTTTTCACAAAGATAGATAATCCAAAATGCAGAGTATTATAAAAAAAATTATTAAAGAATCAATGAAAAGTAGGAGTTAAGTTGAAAAAGTAGTGAAAAATTGGGAATTATTCGTTAAAATAGGGATAATAAAATTACCGAGTGATAAAATAGTTATTATAAATAGATTGCATAAGTTTAACAGACAACAACAAAACAATGAAATGACTTAAGGATTTTTAGCTCGGGTTTTAGAAGAACTTAAGAAAACATAAGCTTGTAAAACTTAAGCAAGAACGCAGCAGTATTGGGAAAATTTGTGAGTTTCTTGTTGGTAAAGAACTTTCCGCTTTCAGAAGATAACTTACCTTAAATTTAAACATTTTTTAAGTATTCTTATTCACCGGGTAAATTCTCAATTGAACTTAATAGCATGCAAATTAGATCTGATAATGCAAGTCACAAGTCCATCTCACACTGTATCCAAACATTGTAGAATAGTTAGCCTTACATATCTTCTTGATAATAATAACAATGATGTGATGAGTAACATTATATTTTGTTCTCTAGTTAATACATTTGAAGATATTTTGTTGCTAAAAATCAATGTCGGTAGCCAAATCGGTATGGGCGGTCAAAATCGATTTAAAAATGGGTTCTCCGGCCTATTCAAGTAAATATCAGGATTTGGTCTCGCGAACAATGATTAAAAATAAAAAAAAAAATCAAAATTGAAAATATTGAGACTGATGAATTAGAAATTGAATTGAAGTGGACGAGATTGTGCCATGGATGAGAAGAAATCATATATTAATACATTTTTATATATTGTCATCTATTAAATATTACTCCCTCCGGCAACATTTAATTTTTTTTGTCCCAAATTCACTGCAATATTTTTAAATTTAGAAATAATTAATAATATTTATATACATATATTAATATACACTTCACTTTATCACATCACATCACTCAAATAAAAAAACAAATAATCATTTTTCTCTCCAATCACATCACTTAATATCCAAATTATCTCAAATTACCATACTTAATACTCCACCTAAATTCCCGTGCCAAATACAAATGTTGCACGGTGTTTGGGACAGAAGGAGTATTATTTTAATACATATTGATCGTTAATTCGTGAAAAAGAATCGAAAAATTAAATAGAGCGTGCTGATATAATATTTTTTAATATTTTCCTTTATAATAAATTATTTATATGATATAAATTTAATAATTTATAAAATCTGTGCAATGCATGGGTGAACACACTGGTATATTAATATGGGAATTGAAATAATGCAAGAAAAAAAAAAGGATAGAAAAATATAAAGCTATTGGGCTAGACGGTAGATTGGGTCTTTTTCTTCCTTATTGGGCTGCCAGCCCATTCTTCAATTTTGAATTTTCACATCAAATAATTTTTAATTTTTATTTTTTATATTATACTAAAAATTTATTTTATATTCAAAATATCACATTAATTTTTATTTATATCATATCAAACAACTATTCAAATTCAACTTTTTACTGTTTATAAATCCAAATCCAAAACTCCACACCCACGAACAAACACGCTAAGTTTTAGGACTCAAGATACTAAATGAGGAAACAAAAGCGTTAATCAAACAATTATTTTTCGTTATTTGATGTATTCTTATCCTTTTGGCAAAATTCCATCAATGTCAGTTCAATTTCTAGTTCATCAATTGCAATATTTTCAATTTCAAACTTATTGTATCTCAATCGTTTATCACAAGATTGAGACTGAATTTTTTTTAGTAGGCCGGAAAACCCATCTTGGTATCAAGTTTGACAGGTCCACACCGAGTAGGCTGCCAACATAAACAAAATTTTTGTGATAACATTTGTTATAGTTAAAATTTTGGGTGTGATTTTTGATTAAAGTAAATTAATATTTTATAAATATAGTGTAATAAAGTAGTGTAATATATTACTATTACCTCCAGCTCTACGAGTCTTATTTGAAAAAAATTGCAAAAATATCTTCACCAGACGGATGATTTTTTTTTTTTTTTTTTTTCACAAAACAACTTTTCAAATAATAATAAAAAACTTTAAAAAAAATAATAAAAAGAATGACTTGATACGTAGGATAAATGCAATTAGAAGTTTGATAACCACATGAAAATAACATGACAGCTTTAATTTATCCCTGTTGGATCATAATCCACTTCATTTGCATGCCCTTCGATTGACCGTGACAATCCCCCAAATACTACTTTTCTAAAAAGTAAATAAAAAAGCTATCAAATCACAAACATCATCAAAATTTGTACCACATATTTTATTCCTTGTCCTAATAATTAATTATCTAAAACAAATGTGTCTGACGTCGACGTGTCCTCTAACTACTTGTGGGATTCCTCCTTAATCAAATTTCTATTTTTTAGTTAATACTACCTTCCTCCGATTATAAGGGTCTCATTTACGTTTTGCGTATTGATCTTTGAATTTTAGTTATTATATAAAAACGTAGTAACTTCTATTAGTATTTTATAAAACTATTATAATAATATTTGTGCAAAAAATTATACAAAAATAAAGATATTTTTAATGTGAAGTACAATGACATAAAATGTAAATATAACCTTTAGAGCCGGACGAAAAGAGTATTAATTAGATAAGCCTATACATCAATCCCACCACACAGGAATTGATTCAAACTTATTACAGTGTATTATTCGGTTTAATCCTTCTTTAATTAAGGTGTGAAGAGACAATCCAAGATAAGCCCAACTTTTTTAAATTTTTTTTAAATTCTTTAATTTAAAAAAAAAAAAAAAATAAAATAATTTCTCCACACTTTTGAAATACTCTCACCATAGGTTCACAATTTTTTTTATGTACGTTGTTTAATTCTAAATCATATTCAAATTTAAAGTACCTTCAATTTTCTAGTTGTACTGAAAAATAAAGTTCGAAATCATATGTTGTGTATTTAATATACATCGCCTACCTTTATTATATATGTTGTTGATTTAATCAAATCAAATCAGCAGAATATCCGCCTTTATTTCCATAATATACGATAAGCTAAAGACAATATATAGCACTTTTTCCGTTCAGTAAATTTAAAACATTTGGGTCCAACACGAAAATTAAAAAAATGTATATTTTATTGAAAAATAGATAGTAAAAGGACAGTTGAAAGTATATTTGAAAATTTAATTAGTTATTGCAGTGAAAAATAAATATTTAATGAAGAATAATAATTATATATTAATTAGTTGACTTTGATCGGAAAAAAAAAAAAAAAAAAAGAATAAATTTGACGGCTAGAAGTCCTATTATTTCATTCGACATTGTAATAGCTTTAGATTCAATAAAAGCACATTATACACAAACATGACCTCTACCATCTTCAACTTGAAGGAATATTTCTAAATTGCCACAGCCCATCATTATCACTAACAATATCCCACGAAGTGCTATCTCCCAACCACTCCGCCGCCGCCACGTGGCATTCGGACAAGGCAGTATCATAGTACCCAAATTCTTGCATCCCATATTCATCGTTATAACAAATCCCCTCGTAATTATTATAACTATAAAAATTATAACCCTCGTCATGGTTCTCCATTGATGTCCCAAACTGATCATCAAGAAAGTTGCCATTGATGAAATCCTCACCACCTGATTGACGAATATCGATCACTTCCGCCGGGGAATTACAGCCTGGATCGCCGGAATTTGAACATTCCGGCAGGTGGCTGCTGCCGGAAAATGGCGGCGGAGCCGGGGATTCCAGTTTGGTCTGAATTGCCAGGGCTGATGACGACGACGACAATGGAGATGAGGAAATTAATGACGATGAATCTTGATCCATTTTCTCGAGCAACCTAGGCTTCCAAATATTTCGCACAGCTTCGACAAATTTAAGGCTGTTGGAATCGAGCTTGAGCTGTCGGGCCTGTTTTTGCACCCGGGTTCTCCAGTAATTCTTGATTTCGTTATCTGTTCGTCCCGGAAGCTCTTTTGCAATTTTGGACCACCTGGAATCATCAAAGAGGCGTATATGAATGATCAGACGAGGAAATTGTTGAGCCAAAATTAAATTGTGTTTTTTTTGTAAGTTTTACCATAAATTTTACTATTCAGATTTTTTGTTCTTCCAAAAATATCATATCAAACAATTATTTTTTATTTTTATTTTTTTATATATTATATTACAAATTTATTTTGCATTAAAAAATTACATCATTATATATTTATATCACATCAAATAGGTATTCAAATTCAATTTTTTATTGTTAAAAAAATCCAAACTTAAAATTCCAAACTCACAAACAAACACACCCTTATTATGTATATATATATACACTAGTGAGTAAATATGTGCTATTGCACGGAATTATTATATTTTTTATATATATTATATGTATGACGTGGATGGCTGTGGAGACGACACGTCAGCATCCCACCTGTTACCCCATTTGGAATGTAATTCAAGAATCAGGAGCTGTTCGTGGGGGCTAAGGTTTCCACGTTTGACGTCGGGCCTCAGATAATTCAACCACCTCAGCCTGCAACTTTTCCCTGTTCTCTTAAGCCCTAATAAAATGTCAAACAAACGATGAATCGAACCTTACCTTAAAAGACTCGAACAGTAGTTGCAGTAGTCTGGATTTGGGAGGTCCATGGACTCCAGCACCCAGACCGATAGCAGCCAGCAACAGTGACTGATTCAGAACTGGTGCTGGAGTCCATGGACCTCTCAAAGAATAGCCAGGAACATATATGAAATCGAAGTTCTAACCTGAATATTTAGCCAGGGAATTCCAGTGGGCTTCGCCATTGAAACTTACAGACTGAATAAGTAAGTTGTCTTCTTCAATGGTCCATGGACCTCTTCTTATCTCACTACTACTATTGCCTGTATTGTTTTCCAGGTTGATCCCACCCATTGTAATGACAAGAAATTATTTTTACAGAAGGAACTAAGTTTTAGAAATTCTTGTTGAGTGTCCTAATGAGAAATCCCATGAGAGATTTTATAGTGTATATATATATATATATCGATGTAGTTGTCAAGAGATTCATTATTCATTGCAAAAAGATAAAGACAATTAAGTACACTAGCTATAGACATCATCCACGCGACAATCTTATTGGTTCTTTCATACCTTTCTACTACATTAGTTCAATGAGAAGTGCTCTTGATTTAGATTCTTGATAATTCCGGGTCCAGTCGGGGTGGGTTCGATGGATGGACCCGCTAACATCACCATGAGTGGTGTGTACCTATCAATCGGGTGTTGGGTGGATCACCGGAGAATCGGGTTCGATGCACTTACGAGGAATGTTTACTTTTTTCGAGTGAGCATCCAAAGTATGTCCAATTTGGAAAGACTTGCACAATGCTATGTTTACGTATACATTTAAACTATTCATCAATAGTAATTTTCTTTTAAAAAAATATCATATAATATATATATATATTTTCACAAAATATCGTATCAAATATATTTATATATTATTATTATTATTGTTATTATTATTATTATATTTTTATACAACTTTTTATACCTTATTTAAAACAATATATTTTAAAACCAGAACAGATTTTAAATTATAAATTCATTATAATTTACTCCCTCCGTCTCAAAAGAAGTGTCTTATCGAGAGTTTTGACACGGAAACTAAGGAATAATAGTATTTAATTGAAAGTGGGTATAAAGTAAAATATAAATGACTAAAATGCCCTTACTTTTTTGAATGATTTTAAAGAGTATGTTAGAGTAATAATTATGGGTAGTATGGAAAAGTAGGAATAATTTTGTTATAAAATGGGGACCACGATTACTAAATAAAGAAATAAGACAATTGTTTTGGGAAGGACGAAAATGGAAAAACAAGACAAATCTTTTGGGACGGAGAGAGTATATACTATTTGGGTCAAATCAACACATATAATGAAAATAATCACTGTATACTTCTATATTACTGTAATCAAATAATATATTATATTATGTGGAATTATATCTTGTGTTGCCATGACATGTGTTGTGTATATATATATATATCGTATCATCTTGTGTTGTCAAACATGTGTTATCTTATAACATTATATACGCTGACCAGGCACTGATTTGACCCAATCAACATGATTTAAACAATATACTAATTAGTTTCCCAAATGTGAGTATGTTGATATTGTTGGATTAAAATTATCCAACAGATATATGCTAATTACATGTTTTGCACTATACATATATATATATATATTCCATAAAGTTCTATATTATATATATATATATATATATGTTCTTGATGGGAATATGCTTGCATTGGTTATGTTGTCAATCAGGCTTTCGAGTATCCATGTAATAATTCTATCCACATAATAATACCATTCCCAAAATTATAATAAATAAATAAATAAGTGCACAACAAATCTTGAAATTCATGGGGGCTTGTGGTGGGGGTCGGAATCCTCTCTTCATGGTTCTAATAATAAAATAATTTCCAACTATTATTATTATTATTATTATTATTATGATATAACTTTTTAAGTCGAAAAAAGAAATGCATGGTGGGGATGCAATGTGTAAAAGGAGAGAGTAAAAATTAAAGGGTTTTTCGCAGAGTGGATATATAACTAAAGAAGATAAGACATATGGGAATGAGGAATCCATTATTGAAGCTCTACTGTTTCAATGATTTGATAAGTGGGAAATATCATATCATCAAAATATTTATATATATAGTTTCTTGTTTTAGCAATTCGTCTTTTATTCCATTTGTGGATATTTATATATACATATTATGTAAGAAAATAAATAATTAACATATTTGATAATTTTCGTGTGGCTTCAGTTCTTGTAAATTGTAATAATTTTCCTTTTTTTTTTTCACTAAATTTTATCATTTGATGAGGATGTGATAGGGGGAATTTAGTAGTGGGACTTTTGGGATTTCTTTGGATGAGGGTTGGAACTTTTTTTAAGAATGAGATAATTGAGATGATGTTTTGATGAAGTTTGAGATATGATATATGTTGTTATAATTTTATTTACTTTTTTTTTTTTTATATAATAAATTAACAATTATAGTAATGATCAATTGAGTGTAGAGCTAGCAATGAGTCGATTCGTGTCGGATTGAATACTTTAAACGGGTTAAATTACTCAACTCTAACTCAACCAGTTTATTATCATGTCGGGTTCGTGTTGACCCATTTATTATCGTGTCGGATTCGAGTTGACTCGTGTTGACCCGTATACATAAATTAAGTCGAATTTCTTGATTCAAATTAAATAAGTTTTTGTTGTGTTGTCATGGTATGTTAGTTTTTATTGGTTTGAATGTAAATTAAGTTGAATTATTTAAAATTGAATTTAGTTTAAATTAATTTATGAGAAAATTAATAAATTATGATTATTTTACATATATAATAAATATAATAATCAATATTAATATATTATAATCAGGTTATCGTGTCGGGTTCAAGTTGAGAGTCTCAACCCCAACCCCAACCCGACCCATTTATTATCGTATCAGGTTCGTTTCAACCCGTATACATAATCGAGTTGAAATATTTGACCCAAATCCAATTATTTTGTGTCAGGTTATCGTGTCGGGTCAGTATTTGTCAGCTCTAATTGAGTGGTTAAATTTGGATGCGAATAGTTTATAGTGCAATTATATTAACAATTGGCGGAAAGAATAACTTGAGTTTAATAATTTTTGTGAAAAATACCAAGACATATTTTTAGACCCGAGATCCGAATGAAATCCAATTATATTTGGATTTGGCTATACTTACACCCGACTCGAGCTATACCCGATAAGATCTGATGAATTTTATAGACCCGAAATACTTTTGTAATTTTTAGAAATTTAACTCAAAGTTGGACCCGAAACATATATAAAAATGTGTATATATTATTCAAAAATATTACTCCCTTCGTCCGCCTCTATTTTTATATTTTCTTGTAACTAATTGTCTCTCTATCTTTAACTAATTGAATCTTAATAGGTTTCTATGAAGGTCTAGAGACAATAGGTGTTCATGGGGACACAATTGCTCGAGGTGGTAATGAATTAGCTTTATCCGAGTCATCGTTTAAGTTTCATTCGCCTTTAAGGGTAAGATCGTTTTCTTTCTTTCTTCATTTTCTACCCTTACATAAGCGTTTATGGATTTTATTCATACGTAATTTTTGCATGTCATGTAAGATGGGTGATAACTTTGTCGTAAAGGTGAGGGTGATCAATACATTTTTTGCTCGATTATTGTTCGAATAATTTATCTTCAAGATACCTAACCGAGAGGTTATGTGCTGATTCTTTACAATATTCAACATAATCGTGAAATTTTATTACGAGCTTCAAGCCTGATGATTCTGTTGTAATTTTCATCGGATCGTAGAAGCAAGAACCACATTGATTTGTCTCAATAATAAATATTGTCCAAGATTGCTATGTTTCGACAACTTGAAGAAGAATAATGGTGGTATCGATCAATTTGTTAATTTGTTGATGTTCTTGTTCGTGTTGTACTATTGATACTTTATCTTCTTCTATTGAGGGATCTACAATGGAAATTTCGATGTTTCTGTAACTTAGATTCGTAATATATTTTCAATCTTTTTCATTTCAAATATTTTTTCAAAGTCTTCAAATTGGGACTTATTTATAATTTTTAATTTTATCTCTTGTAAATAGAAATTATATTTATATATTTAAAATTCTTCAATTTTTTTTTTTCTTATAATATTGGTTCATATTAGTTATATATAAATATATATATATATCTATAATTTTTTCTTTATAAAATGATAATTTTGTTGAATACATTTTATTGAAATAAGTTTCTAAAATATTTAGATTTATTTTCATCAAATATATTGTAGTTCATTAACCAAACAACATTCCCGATTCCTAATTTAACCAAATTTTCAACCACAATTCAAGCTACCAAGCCCACTTCCAAGATGGTTCAAAGTGCATGGAAATGTCTTTTATATACATACATACAAACATATATATATATATATATTTGGTGTTGATTGACTTTTGTAATATATATATATAGTGATGTGTATTTCATTCAATTTAAGTTTTTAAATGAAACGATCATTTAATATTATTTAACATTTGTATTGTTTAATCTATTAAATATATATATATATGATTATATACTCCATCTATTTTAAGTTAATATTTTTATTTTATCATTTTTGTTTTGTCTCATTCAAAATCATTCATTTTATATTATAGTAAAAGTAATTCATATATAAATACCAAAATATCATTTATTTTTATAAAAATATTCATTAACAATGACAAAAATATCAATATCATTTTACACATTTTCACTGACCAATAAAATATTATTATTTTTTAATTTATTAAAAACAAAAAAAAAAAAAACACAAATATGTATTTTGAGTTGAGACTGTTGGAGTATTATACTTACATTTTATTTAAGAATTATTTAATATATTTAAAATATTACATTCAATATGTATTTTTCATTATAAAAAATATATATCCAAAATACTTTAAATTTGATGATGCAAAATATTGATTGAAATTGATATTTTATAAAAAAAACGATTAGACACTGAAATAATAATTCTATGAAAATAAATTAATACTATAAACTTTATTTAACAATTTTCATTTTTTATTAATCAACGAGTAAAAACATTCATAAATTACACTATAAAAACAACAAACTAAATAAAGAATTTATCATCACATTATGTTTGTTTTCTTCTGTTTTAGTCGGCTCGTATCCTCTCTACTGTTGCAACGCATAAACAGAGAGCATATAATAATTATAATACAATATACTCCATCCGTCCCATAGATATAGTCTTAATTGGGTTGGATACGAAATTTAAGAAATATTGATATTATATTGGTAGTGAGTAAAAAATATACTTAAAAGACTTTTTTTGTCCTTGTGAGTGTATTAGTGTAAAAAGTAGTGGCAATTGTGTAATAAAAATGAAAAAGTAGAGGTAATTTTACGGTGATATGATTATTTATGGAAATAACGCTATTGTTTTGGGACGGACAAAAATGGTAAATAAAACTATTGTATTGGGACGGAGGGAGTATATATATATATATTGATTTTGCAGAGTATTAGGTTCGGCTAGGGTTTGTCAGTGTGCACTTTCGAATAGCGATTGTGTGGATTCCCATGTTATATAAAAAAAAAAAAATCGTAAAATTTTATTAATTTTAACTACTTTCTATTTTATTAAAGTGTAGACTCAAGTGTTACATTAGAATATTTGAAGTAAAATTTATATATTATAAATCTTACCTAAACTCCGCTAATATAAAATATATTTAGAGAAAATTAAAAAATAAATCTGTGTCTAATAATTATATCTTATGAATAATAGTAATATAATTTGAACATAGGGAAAAATATATATATATATTTTACGTGATACTTTAAATTAAACAGATTTTTATTAGATTCGGTATTAAAATATAAAATTGAATAGTATAAATGAATAGAGCTTAGGTAAAATAAATCTTCATAACAGCACCCAGGAATTGAGCTCCCGAGCCGAAGAGGGTCATTTAATTCATGTCATGATCATGATTCATGAAGGCTTCGGGAGTTCAGTTCCTAGGAGCGGTTTAAAAATTAACTACGGCACGTGTTAGGCACGTGACCACAATATAGGAATGTATTTGCCGTTAACCTAAACCTTAACGCCCACATTGTATGTAAGAACACTGAAATGGAGGAATTCACGAACTTTGCCCCAAATTTCAATCGGAAGCCATTGCCCTAAGCCTAATCTCGACACTCTTTTCCGTTTCGAAACATGATTCACTCTGCAATCACTCTCAGAAACCGTTCGATCGTCCCCAATTCACTCCCTTTTTTGGCTGCCGACATGTTTCCTCGGCCGTGTCGGAACTTTCCAGCCAATTTCCGGCGGCATTTTCCGTTCCAATCTCTCAGATTCGCTTCCTCTCCGGTCGGGAGGTGCGATGCGGCCGCGAAGTTTGACTTTAAAGGTGGAAAAGGGTACTTCCAATTATTTCTCCTTTTTTTTTTTATTTTATTTATTTATTAAATTTCTTATATTTGGTATAGAGGATAATGCTCGAATCTTACAATTTGTCTTGAGATTTTTGCTGTCCGGACGGCAATTGGATTGGAAATTTTATAGGTTGTTATTAATGGCTGCGATTGCGATGTTTAATTTTGAACATTTTTTCAGCCTTTCTCTTCTCTGCTCTTTGTAATTCCTGATTCGAACGCAGCTTTAATTTCATGTTTTCCCCAATTCGAAATTGCATTACCAAATTATTTGAATTGATTTTAATTTTTGGATACATGATGATTTACAATAATAATAATAATAATAATTCTTTTAAGCTCTACTTGAAAGGTTTTGGAAACGGTGGAGGTGTGTGTATATGATGGTTTTTTTGCAGAATAATGACAGGGTTCCATGAGGTGGAACTTAAAGTTCGGGACTATGAATTGGATCAATATGGTGTTGTAAATAATGCTGTTTATGCAAGTTATTGCCAACATGGTAACAATTCTTGCTCTAATTTTTTTTTACTGTACATCGGGTTCATTTGAAAATAGTAAAAAATTGAATAGAAAATACTCATATTGATGTTATAGATATATGGTGGCGGATACAGTGTACTAGCAAACAACACACGATATTAGTAATAGATTACAAATACATACACATGATATAATCTCACACAACACATGTAGTAGTTGATTTTAGCACACGATATACTTGTATACATCAGACGTTGTAAGTATAAATAACACACAAAACATTGTTGTTCGAGACAAAGACATGTGTTGTCTTTATCTTTTATTGTGCTAATTGGAAAAATCAGAACGGTAACCCCTCCCATATATATATATATGTATTGGCATTAATATGATGTTTTGTTAAAAGTGAACTATGAAACAAATTTGAAAACATAGGTAACCAGAGCCTTAATCATTTCGGGCACTAGTTAGCAAGTCTTAGGTTTCTTTACTCTTCGAGTGCGATTAGGTAAACTCCCGGTCAAGTGTTTTAAGATTCTTGTTTAAAGAAAACAGAGATTGAAGCTTCACTTGCCCTAACCAGATTGTTCTAAAAAAGAAAACCCGAGTGTCTTCTTTTGGAGTTTGATTTTGTTTTTTGTTTTAATAGTAGTTTATCGTCAGTGTATTTTTATAAAGAATCGCAAATGATTAACAATAAAAAAACCATAAACCCAATCTCAAAACTCGTCAGCAGTCGAAAATCTGTGTTTGATTTCAAAGATTAGTCTCTAATAAAACACGGTACTTTATTACAAGAACATAGTACTATATATTTGTCTAGCTACGAATTTGTGTTATTCTCGCATTAACAGGCCGGCACGAATTGTTGGAGCGGATCGGTGTCAGCGCAGATGAAGTTGCTCGTAGTGGCGATGCATTAGCTTTGACGGAGCTTTCGCTGAAGTTTCTTGCGCCTTTAAGGGTGCGGAATTGCAATTATTTCATCGCTTCGATATTTATTTATTTTCTTTTTAATCCCTCGATTATTAATTTGTCCCTTTCTCGACCTGTCAGAGTGGAGACAGGTTTCTCGTGAAGGTGAGGGTGTCGGGATCTTCTGCTGCGCGGCTGTTCTTCGAGCATTTCATCTTCAAGATACCTAATCAAGAGGTTTTTACATAATCTTCTCTTACACTACAATTCCTCAGGATAAAATTATAGGATTCGAAGCTAATGATTATGTATGTGTTGATTTCTTTTTTATTATTTTTGCGGCTGAGCAGCCGATCTTGGAGGCGAGAGCTACGGCGGTGTGGCTCGACAAAAATTATCGACCTGTCCGTGTCCCGACAGATATGAGATCGAAGATCGCGTTGTTCCTCCAAGACAAAGAAGTGTAGGGAAGGGAAGGGATGGTTTCTTATGACCTTGCTAACATTAATTGGGAAGCCTCTTGTCTGATTATTATTATTATTATTATGTCTTGCTCTGTCTGTTGTTTCTTATACGAATACCATGAAGAAGAATGATGGATGGTAATAACATTTATACACCCAATTAATTAATTATCTACTTTTATACACATTCAAGTTTACGAGGAGAGGGCTTTTGTTTTTTGTTGTTTTTTTTTCTTTATTTTTTTTTTTTAAAAAAAAATTATACTACAATCTTATTGTTTATGGTGAAAGATTATAGAGTATATGTGAAGTGGAATGATTTTTAATAATTTTTTTTTTTTAAATATAATCTGCACATATTAATATAATATATATAATTTACTTATTTATAAAAATTAAATAATTTAATATAAAATATCAATTTTTATATTATTAATATAATTTATTTTTTTACCTAAAGTAAATAAATATATTTATTAAAAAATACAAAGTGGATAAAGTAGCAATTTTTTATCTTTTTTATTATAAAAAATATCAATTACTAATATCAATTACTATTATATAAGTTTATTAAAATTTATGTGAAAATATTTGAGTATACAATTGAATGAAAGAGGAAGTATAAAATATTGTATGTCTATATATCACAATTATTTCATTTTAAAAAACAATAAAGACAAAATTGTTCATAACTGCGTTATAGTTTTGCAACTCAACGTAAATTCTCATTTACTTTAAAAATTGTATGCGCCCCTTATACTTTAAAAAAGTTGCATGAAACTCCACTGTAGTTTTAAAATTCAGCGTAAATCTCCATTTTATTTTAAAACATTGCATGGGGCTGCTCTTTTATACTTTAAAAAATATTGCACGAAATCCCCGCCGTACAAAACATACAGATAGGAAATCATCTTTACATCATACAAAGAAGTTTTCATTGTGGTGGGTTTCATGTAATGTTTTTTAAAGTATAAAGGGTATTATACAATTTTTAAAGTATCGATAAATTTTAAGCTAAATTTCGAAATCACAGAGAGAAATTAAAGAACAATTTTAGCAACTATAAAAATCAAAAGTATCTATATTGTATGCTTATTTAATACTTTTATTTGGAACTAGATTTCGTTTTTTAAATGGGATGCTTGTTTATTATTTGTGTGTGTGTTTCTTTTGTTCAAATATAAATATATGTATTACAATGTAAAGAAGCATCGAGACTTAATCTATAGATATATTTTTAAGTTATCCCAATTTTTTAATTCTTTTCTATTTATTTAATTTTAAAATACATATGAATATCTTGGTATTCATTTCTATTTGTGACTTGTTCCTACATATCATACGATATGTATGCTATTGACTTCCTAAAGCCAATATCTAGGCATGACTATTTTTATTCGTACTACAACAATTTGGTTGCTCCTGCAATCAATCGATATCATCATTCATATGGTAAATCGATGTCAATGTTCAATTATGGTTATTTATAGCCAAACTATGATAATTTTATTGATTCTGCAGTTAATAATTATTATAATTTCAATTATGATTATTCGCAATTAAATTCTTACGATTTAATTACTCATGAAGCTGATTGTCACTACTATGGTTCGTTGTATAAGTAAAAAAATCATAATCTAATCATTGAGGTTGATCGTTATTATGGTTATGGGTATGTTTCTTTAGATGAGTTTGAAAAAAAAAATTGATTTAAGTTTGGTATTAAAATAATGTATGATGGGATGTTTTGTAAGATGAAAAAATATATTTTTTTTGAAAAACGCAGAATCCAAATAATAAAAATTTTAGAATTTGGACAAAAGAAACATACCCTATTACACTTTTAGTACTAACAAATGACAATCAGAGTGAAGGTGCATCAAATATCTATAGTTGATTCTCTTATCCTACACACGACAATAAGGAACAATGACGTAGGCATATCGGACTTTGACGAAATAGCTTATAATTTGTTAGTGTGAATTGGAATTTGAATAATAAGATTTTTGAATTAGAATAGTTGTATGATGTGATATAAATATATGTTTATATTATGTTTTGAATGTAAAATTAGATTTTAGTATAATATAAAAAATAAAAAATAAATATTTGATTTGATATTTTGAAATTTTTTTTATATATAAATAGTAGAATTTCAGGGTGTGTTTGGCGTAGGAACTTGAGAAATAAATCATTTTTATTTGTCTGTTCTCACTGGAAAAACAACTATGTGTGGCAGATAACTTGAGATCAAATCCTTGACTTTATAGTCACAAGTCCAACCCCACACCGTCAGATCATCCTTACCTGACAAATACTTTGTTAGAATGGATGGAGTATCCTTTAAGACAGGATTTAAACCTTAAAATGGATTATGTGGCAGGACCAAAATAAGACAGTATAGTTCGGATCAGCCTGTAGCCTTTGCCTAATATTAAAACGGGCTTTATTTTGTTCATAATATTTTTTTAAGGACCCACTCTAAAATTATTTATTGGTTTTATTATTAATACTATTATTTTAATAGGGCCTAATCTATAAAAGCCCAGTGGACAACTTTTGAAGTTGATTAGGAGGTAAAGTCCACTTATTATTATATATACTAAAATCTAATTTGAAGATAAGATTAAGCAGGGGTGTCAACAATAAAAAAAAAAAAGTTTAAAATTATAAAAAATAAATAATATGGATGTGTGTTTGTGGGTTTTAGTTTTTTTAGTTTGAATTTTTTAATAGTAAAGAATTAAATTTAAATAATTTTTTGATGTAATATGAATAGAGGTTAACGTGATGTTTTGAATGTAAAATAAATTTGTAGTATAATATAAAAAAATAAAAATAAAAATAATTGTTTTATATGATATTTTTTAAGGAAAAAAATATCTGAATAGTAAAAACTTGTGTAAAATCCACAAAAGAATACAACCATGCTAATTATAGAAAACAAAATTAAGTTTCGCTTTTGCATAAGATATTTTAAAATAAATTTAAAATTTTCCGATAGGTCATGTCAAGTTCTTTGGGTTATTCGGGTTATTAGATAATCTGAAATAAAATCAAAATGATCTGTACTTAACCCAAAAAAATTCATATCGTTTTAATCAGGTTTAAAATTTTGTGATGAACATCTTGTTCGAATTGACAAATTTTGTGATATACTCATAACTCAATCTAATAATAAATACTACTCTCTCCCAGAATTATAGTCTTAATTGGATTGGACAAGGAATTTAATGAATATTGATATTATATTGGTAATTGATAAAAAGTATAGATAAAAAACTTTTTTTTGCCCTTGTGAGTGTATTAGTGTAAAAAGTAGTGGTAATTGTGTAATAAAAATGAAAAAATATGAATAATTTATGATGATATAATTATTTATAGAAATAAAACTATTTTTTGAAACGGCCAAATCGGGACGGAAAGAGTATTCAAAATACGAATTGACAATTGTAAGTTGTAAAATCCATCATGCCACGTCATGAATGCCCCAAACACAGAAGATGATAAATTTATTTTAAAAAGAAAATAATTAATGAAAACAACCTAACCTCGACACTTATCACTTAATTGTGTCGATAGTTGTTTTTATTTATTTATTTATTTATCTATCTATCTATCTATCTATTTTATTACTATTTAATTTCATCCAAATCCAATTAAGCTTCAGATGTTATTTAATTAACACACCAATGAGTTTATTTATTTATTATTATTATTGATATGTGGTGACATAATCCTATGGACGTACACGTACCAACAACTTTGCATAATTCATACTATTTCTTTATTAGCTTATTAGATTCATCCATCATCTATTAGAGTACGTAATTTGATGTAACACCATTCGGTTTGTGGAGTTTTTATTGTTTAAATAATAGTTTGAAGTAATGTTTTATAAATAAAAACAAAACCAAAAAATATATTATAAGACAAAATATAAAAATAAACCCTCATGATATATTTTTTTATTAATTAATTCTAATTGGCATAGGATGTGACAGATAAAATTTAGAGACGTAAAAAATTTGAACATATGGTCTAACAGTCATCAGTTCAATCCACATCATCAAATCATTTATTACGAAATCTTATTATAAAATTTTTTAAAAATAATTCAGTAGTGGTGTAGAGTACCATGATTGTCGTCAAAAACTTTCTTATTACTCAATTTTGGAGTCGTGATTATAAATTTTGATGTTAATAATAATAATAATAATAACTTTCTAAAGGGTCAAAATAGGCTTGCGGCTTTTGACTTGTGTCCCACTTTTAACGACACGCCCATTCTAATTCTTCTTCATGCAACAACAATAATCAACCACGCTAATTATTTGGAGTAGAGTTAAATAAATTTATATAATATTCAAGTTAGATATTTAAAAATCGAAATATATATTAGTTATATATATATATATATACCCAAAATTGGTTTCGTAACCAAATTAAGATGGAAATACATAATAATAATAATAATAATAATAATAATAATAATAATAATTTGTGTTGTGTAACGGAAACGAGAGAAGAAATGGTTGAAAACTGAAAGCTAGATATTAGCTGGAAATTAATTAATTAAATTTAATTGGATGAAAATTGAAAAATGAAAATTAAATTCAAAGTCGCAACCTACTCGCTCACTCCATCAAGAACTGCTTCACAATCTTCACGCTCGGCTCCAGCACCTGTTTTTCCCAAATCTCCGCCGTCCTCCGCCGCGCCGCTCCGCCCATCGCCGCCCTCAGCGCCGCCGTCGCGTCCACTCTCTTCAGGTCCCACCCCGCGGCGTCCCGCAGCCGTCGGATCTTACCCAGCTGCCTCTTCGCCAGCTGACACGTGTTATCCTTGATCGCCCGCACTTCGCTATCGTACGCCGCCCTCCTCGCCACGTCATCCGCCGGTCCGTTCCGAAGCTTCTGGAAGTATCTCCCGAACTCGGCCACGCCGATCGCCTTCCTCAACCCGCATTGACTCACTGAGTCCGACTCGTCACTCGCCAGGTACTCACTCAGCTCCTCCACCATCCCCAAATCAACCATGGCGTCGACTCTCTTCACCAGGTACTGGTTCAGCACCGCCGGCGAGGCGTCCACCCAAATGAAGCAGCAATTGTACCGGAGCTCCTTACAGAACGCCTCCGCCGCCTCGCCGTCGCCGAAGACGTCGACCGCCGCGTCGAATGTCTTCGCCAACAGAGCGTAAACGAACGAATTCGAACCTCCGACGACGAACGGAATATTCCGGCGAGCGTGAATCCTCGAGATCGCCGCCGCGGCGGCGGACCGGAAATCGGAGGGGGTGAACTCGGGATGCGACTCGGACGGGTCGAACTCGCCGAGGAGCGAGTGGGGGACGCTCCGCCGCTCCGGGAAGGTGATTTTGTTGGTGGTGATGTCGAGGCCGCGGTAGATTTGGATTTTATCGGAATTGATGATTTCGGAGGCCCGAAAAAACCTGGAAGCCAAATCGATTGAGAGCTTCGATTTTCCGCAGCCGGTCGGCCCCATTATAACGACGATCTTCTTACTCCGGCGTGCGGCGGCGGTGGTGGAAGCCATGGGAGTCCACCGGTAGAGAAAGGGGAAGGATAAAGTAGCGCTGGGAGTTCTGTAAGGTAAGTGGCGATGAGGTATTCCCAGAAATGGCACTCTTCTCATAAGGGAAAAAGATAAAACAGGAAATGCAACCAAACAGGCGTGTATATATATATATGTATGTATATATATGTGTGTGTGTAGAGAGTGTACGTACGGAAGTTGTGGGCGCCTGATGAGAGGTGAACGAAGAGTGGATGAAGGAGGGTTGGTGCGGATTGGGTGTTTGTTCTGTTATACGTCTATATATATATATATATGTATGTATGTATGTATGTATATGTATATGCGTATTATACAGCTTGTAAGGGTGTATACGTATATGAAGGTGAGTGAGAGAAGATGATCGTCTTCATATATCTCACCTTCATGTAACACAAGATTTTCAAGTTTGAAAAAACCGCGTGCCAAACACGGCCTTACAGAGCATATGTTCATCTAACGAGAAGAGAGAGAGATGAGCAGAACAGTGAGGTGGTTTTATTTTGTAGGTTTTACCAATTACACACAAGTTTTTACTGCATATTCTATCTTCCTTCTAAATATTAAATTAAATAATTATTTTTTTTATATTATATTATATATTTATTTTATAATCAATTTTTATTTATATCATATCAAACAACTATTCAAATTTAATTTTTTTAAAAAACAAAAACTCAACAAACCCACCTCAAGATTTTGAAATTGCATGGTCATATTTAATTTTTTTTTTTTCAATATATTAGATCAAAAATTTATTTTTATTTATAAATTATTATATTAAATACTATTAAAATTTTTATTATTTCAAAATATAGCTTTATTTTCGTAACATTTTTAGAATTTTATCATTATTTAATTTGTTAAGAAAATACTTATATTAAGTATATTTTTTTTATAATACATCACATCAAATACTACTATTACTTTTATTTTTAATTTGTTCAAAACTTGTTTTTTTTTAAAACTCTATTGTCTAATTCTTTTAAAATAAAATAATAATTAAATATATATTTTTTTTTATTGTTATCAAAATATTGATTATTTGGATTTGTTCACCTATCATTTTTTTTTATAATTCTTTATAAATATTATCAAAATATATTAATACATTTGCATAATATATATAATATATATTTTATTTATTTAAAAAAAAATCAATATTCAACACAAAATATTATAGATGTGCATATTCTATATCAGACAGTTGCGCTATATTTACACAACACACTTTACTCATTTGATACTATTTATTTTTCAAAAACATCACATCAAATACACTTTTTTTCTCATAAAACATCAAATCAAATACTAACATTTTACTTTTTCCAAACTTCTAAATTTCAACAATAATTTTTAAAAAAAACCTATATACTCTCTCCGTTCAGGTGCAAGGTTGTCATTTACTTTTTGCACGTAGATTTTTTAATATTAGTTTATAATAAATTGTAGTTAAAAAGATGAAAATACCACTAGTAGTATTGTGTAATATAAAAGTAATGACATTTGTGTAATATAGTGTAAGTTTGAAAGGTATTAATTATATTAGGTAGGTAGTACAATTACTAAATTAGAAAATTACAAAATAGAAAATGATTACCTTTCAATGAGACGGAGATAGTATAAATAAATATGTCCTAATTATTTTTACATGGAATTTCATATTTGAACAACTAAATTTTAAACATAATAAATTTTAAATTTTGTTTTCTTTTTAAAATATTAACTATATATTTGAAAAAGGAATATAAAGAATGTTTTTACCTAGCATAGTGTATTTATTTTGTAAAATAATTTAAAATAATATAAAATTATGTAAGTAGTATAAAAACAATAAATATATATATATTTTTTTTAAAAAAAAAATGTGTAGAAAAAACACAAAAAAAAGAACACTCTGAATTCATTACAATTATTCTTATTATTACTATTTTTTTCATATTATTGAGATTTTTGTCTATGTCAAAGGTCATATGTTTTGAAAAAATTAAAAATATATATTTAAGGCTACACTAGCCTCATAAATGGCATTTGCTCTCAAACGTTGAAGGCTCTTAATAAGCATTAAGTTTCCTACAATAATTAGGGAGGCCGACTCTTTTATAGTACTAGATTTTTAGTTTTAGCTCAATGTGCTTAATTTATAATGTATATGATATTTATCACTTTAAAATTTTAAAATGTTATAAAATTAATTTTCAAATTTGTTGTTCATTTATTAATTATGATGATAATACGATATATTCCTTCACTCTAATTTCTATTGTCCTAAAGTATATTTGCACAGTTTTTTAGATAATTGTCTTTTTGTTATGAATTGACAAATTTGCCCTTAATTGTATGGTAGAGATTATAAATAATAAATGAATAAAGGGTAAAAATGTAAAATTTATGTTTTAAAAAAAAAGGACAATAGTTATTGGACGGAGAGAGTATTTAATATTGATGCAAGGTATTCTTTTAAGTGGAGAGACTGTGATATTCAGAGTTGAGTTTAAATGAATAAAATAAAAAGTTCATATTTAGGGTAAACTTTTTTTTTTAGTTCCGTAATTGAACTCATTTATCATTTTAGTCTCGTAAGTGAAGTCTGTCGCAAATTAGTTCCATAAGTAAAAAAAATTTCTTATTTTAGTCCTCCGGCGTCGGAGACGCCCGCGTGGCTCGCCGGAGGCTACGTGTCCGCCAGGTCAGCGACACCTGGATTTTATTTTATTTTTTAAATTCATTTTTAATTTTATTTCCCTTTTTTGATTTTTTTATTTGGTCCAATTGAAAAAAAAAATAAAAAAATAAAAAATAAAATCCACGTGTGTCGCTGACTTGGCGGGACACATGGCATCCGACAAGCCACGCAGGCGTCTCCGGCGCCAGAGTTCTAAAATAACGAAAAATTTTCACTTATGGGACTAGTTTGCGACAGACTCCACTTACAAGACTAAAATGATGAAGGGTCCAGTTACGAGACTAAAAAAATAGTTTACCCTTGTATTTATTACGTGTACATTCTTCTTTTTCGAAAGTTCGTTTAAAAAAAATTTACTATTAAATATGTTTGCTCTCAAAAAAATTTAAGATGAATAATTCCCGACAAATCTTATGGAGCCAGGATACAATTGATATATGTACATATGTCTAATTTAATGATTTAGGCAAGTTAATAATTTTACATATATTTATATTAAATTGCTATTCTGATATTATAATTATATTTAGTTGTTTGTATTTACATAGGTCATTTATTAAATATAAATTATGTACTCCCTGAGTTCCATGAATGATATGATGTTCACTTTAATCTAAATACATGAATTTAGGAATTTTATAATTAGTTAATAATTAAAAATATATTAGTAAAAATAATTATTGTATAATAAAAATAATTTAATAACTCACAATTTAAGAGAAATTTGAAAATTTTTACCTAAGAAAAAAAAAACTTGGATGATTAGATTCCTAGAATTGCCAACTAGTCCTTCAATAAACCGCAGATGTCGAACCTACAGATAAAACGACGGTGGGGTGGCGGAACTTAAACAAGGCGCTGCTTGCTGTGAATTACCACATCTGAGTGAACCGCAGCATCAGAAACAATAAAAAATAAATAAATATAAATATAAATTAAAAAATAATTTTAACGTTTTTAGAACTTTTTTTTTTTATATATAAAAAAAGTGACTGTTAATAAATAATATTAAAAGTTATATATGTATAGTTTAAATACTATGTTTTTTTTTCTGCAATTTTTTTATTTAATTGATTGTAATATATTAATTTTCGTTCATAGAAAAAATACATTAAAATATTATTTCCTCCGTCTCATAATCCATAACAAAATATATTTTTTTTAAAGTAATTGTACTATCTACCTAATATTACAAATATCTTTACAATTTACAATATTTTACATAAGGTTATTTTAGTCATTTCTATTTTATTCATGTTATATCTCAATATAATATTAATATTTCTAAAATTATATATAAAAAAAAGGTAAAATTGCTTATAACTCCTCTATGGTTTCGAAATTCAGCGTAAAATCTCCCTGTACTTTAAAAATTGCATGTTATTCCCTTATACTTTAAAAAATGTTGCATAAAACCCCACCACTATGATACTTTCCTCGTGTGATAAGAAAATGATTTCTTATCTATATGTTTTGCATAGCAGGGGGGTTTATGCAATATTTTTTAAAGTATAAGTGAGCGTCATGTAATTTTTTAAAGTAAAATAGGAATTTATGTTGAGTTTCGAAACCACAAAGTGGTTTCATACAATATTTTTTAAAATATAAGGGGACGTCATGCAATTTTTAAAGTAGAAGGGAAATTTGCAATTTTTAAAGTAGAAGAAAAATTTACGCTGAGTTTCGAAACCATAAAGGAGTTATGGACAATTTAAAAAAAAAAAAAAAAAACAGATACTTAATTATTATGCACGGAGGGATTATTATTCTTCTCTCCATTAAATGCATATTTTTTATCATAGTAAAAATAGTTTATATACCACTGTCAAAATATTCCTAAACTTTTATATTTAATTTAATTTTAAACCAAAATCCAAGACTTTATAACGTAACTACGAATTTGATGTTGATGTGGAGCATGAAGAGAAGAAAAGGAATATGGGTCAATTTTGATGTTTAAAATACGAGATAATGAGTTGGCGCTTAAATCAATTAATTGATTTAATTTAATTTAGCTAAATGGGCCCATAGTCGGTTCCGGCCCACAAGAGTGGGGCCCATTTAAGAAATGGTGCACAGGCCCACACCTGACTCTGCCGCCAGTGTTTGGACCTCGGGCGCTTGCAACATTACTCGCTGGCGGCTGCACACTACTTTATACATACATATATATATATATATAAGAATAAATAAATAAATAAATTATATTGATAACCTATCAATTTATAAAGTTTATTATATAACTTACTTTATAGAATTAATTAAAATAATGTAAATTTTGAGTATATTTTTCATTAATCAAGTATATACAATGAAATATATATAAAATACTTCCTCCTTAATGTAAATATGTGCTCATTTGACCGAGTATGAGTTTTAATAAAAGCAAGTAATAATTGTTAGTTTTTTACTTTATAGTAAAAAAAGTATAAAAATGAAATAATTTTTTACTTACAAATAAAATGAGAATATATTTTTATGACAATTCAAAAAAAAAAA